TATGTCATGATATTGTGACATAACATTCTTTCATACTACCAACACCATCTACCGAAACCTAACAACAATTCTTCACAAGGGAGATAAATGTTTTCACTTGTTTTCGAATCGCAGCAGAAGGTCCATATAGATTTTAAATTGGACTGTTTTTAATCCACAATAAAAATGTGTCCTTGACAGGTGGCGGGACCGATATCGGGATTCTCTGGAATTGTATTTTAAATCCATTTTGGAAGATTTTGCTTTTGAAATAATGTCAAAAATAATGCCCCTGTCCTTAACTCTCTTCTGATGCAAAATTAGGATTGGGCCATAATTGTGACTTGTAGCTTGATTACAAATTAACATGGACAGACTGACAGACGGACCGACGGACATACATAGCTAGATCGACTCAGCTCGGCGAGATAGGAAGATCCATATATACTGTGCTATGTGGAAAACCAATATTTCGAGGTGTTACATAATTTTTGGCCCAATCAAACTTATAATACCCCCAGCACATAGTGTTGTAGGGCATAAAAATAAGTTAAAAAGTATCAGTCCGTTTTGTCGACAGACGTATACCCTCAGCCAATGTTCAATTATCTGAATATATTTTGACTTTTGTTATGATTATTCAAATTGTTGACCCTCTATGTGGTAGGTTCCGAAGGGAATGGAATGAAATGAATGGACTATTGTCCATTTCGTATCGGACCTCAAAGTATATAAATATATAAAATAAAACTAGTAAAAAAGCTGTCAGTTCGACCGGGCCGATCTTTTAATACCCTCCACCATTTGAAACAAATATGGCAATTTTCCAAAAATAAAATCCGTCCAAAATTCTGTTAAAATCTTAAAAATACCGTATGTAGCCATTATATTAGGGTCTATACGACGACATGGGCCTGCACGGCAGTTTTCTGTCTCAGGCTGTAGTATCCATTACGAACTTCAAATACTAATGTCGCTAAAATCATCAAAAAACCGAATATCGGGAGGTACCATTATATGTGGGCTATACGAGGACGTGGACCTGCACAGACAATTTTCGGTCTTAGGCTGCACTATCCATTACGAACTTCAAATACCAAATTTGAGACATTTCCAGCGAATAATTTCGCATAAATCACAAAAATATCGAAAAAAGGGAGGTACCATTATATGGGGGTTATACCAAAACGTGGACCTACATAGCCCATTTTCAATACCACAAGTTCAGCAGACATAATACACATTAGTGAAAACATTTATCAACCTACTTCATTTCGTTCGGAAGCTAGAGTGATTTTCACAGACGAATAGACGGACGGACATCGCTAAATCGACATAGAATTTTATGCTGATCAGACAACTTTATACTACAAGAATTATTATCTATTGCAAGTCTTAAATGCCAAATTAAAAAAAAATCCGTGGTAAATATGACATGGATTATCAAAATACCGAATATTAGTGGATATCATTATATGGCAGCCATAGGAAACATGGACCTAGATATTCAATATTCTGCCACTGGAGCGAAACCTATTAAGAACTACAAATACCAATTTTTAGACGAATCCGTGGATAATGTGACAAAATTCATCAAAATACCGAATATTGGGAGGTACCCTTATATGGAGGATATACATACGATGTTCTACCATCGGAGCTAGAAATTATTATGACCAACATACCAATTTTGTAGACAAATACATGGAAAATTGTGGCAAAAACATGAAAATGACCAATATTGGGTGGTAGCGTTATATGGGGGCTATTCGAAAATATGAACCTATACATCCAATGTTCCGCCAGTGAAACTAGAACCCATCGGGAGGTACCGTTTTTCAAGACACAATACACATTGTTCAGCCAAATATTTCTACGTCAAATAATGTGGGCTACATCGTGATTCGTGGTCGTGATCTACGACGCATAATTAGGGATGTTACAATTGGAATGACAAAGTTTATATATCCTCCTTTTCAAGGTGGAGGATATAATAGAACGTACGGTCCACGTTACCCCACGTTACCCCTGCATATTTTTTATATCCTCCATCATACTACGGAGAGGATATTAACTTTGTCATTCCGTTTGTAACTCAACAAAGTAAATATATTCTTGATCAGCGTAAAATTCTGAGTCGAATTAGCGATGTCCGTCTGTCTGTCTGTTGTAATCAGGCTATCCTTCGAACGAATTGAGATAGAAGGCCACAGTTTTGCACACATGCTTATTTTTCCAGTAGGCAGGTTAAGTTCGTAAATCGGCCATGTAAGTCCACGTTTTCATATAGCCCCCATATAAAGGTACCTCGCGATATTCGATATTTTGATGATTTTAGCGACATTATTAACCGGAATTGTTTCTAATTTGGTATTTGAATTTCGAAATGGATACTACAGCCTAAGACAGAAAATTCGTATAGCCCCCATATATCAGTACCTCCCTATATTCGGTATTTTGATGAGTTTAGGTGCAAAACCCACCGAAATTGTTTGAGATGTCGTATTTGAAGTTCGTAATGGATGCTACAGCCTGTGACAGAAAATTGTCTATGCTGGTCCAGATTTTCGCACACCTCCGATATAACGGTACCTCCCTATATACGGTATTTTGATGATTTTAGCTACATTATTTAACGTTTATTTCAAGTTTCGAATTTGAATAAGGTAATGGCTTAAAACAAACAATGCCTATGTAGGTCCACGTCGTATAGACCCCAAAATAACGGCTATATTCGGTATTTTTAATATTTTAACAGCATTTTTTAAGGATTTTATTTTTTGAACATATTCGAATTCGTTCCAAATGGTGGAGGGTATTCAAAGTTCGGCCCGTCCGAAATTACTGCTTTTTAACTTGTTTCTAACTCTTCTTCTTCACCTTGCTGATAATATGAATGAATGAATATGATGAATATGAAATCTGCTAAAATTAAGCAGAGACAATTTTGTAAATTATAAATATTCTCTTCATGGAATATGTAAAATTGTGGTACCAATACCAATAATTATGGGTTTGATATGGCGAATGACGAGAATAACTACTTCTGTGTGAATCAGACATAATAACCATGTTCGATGTGGTTGGTATGTATTTATCGGAGAACATACAACCATGTACGAACATATGTACCTACTTACATATCTATGTATGTGCTCATTTTTTCAGCAAAAAGTCCATGCAACAATTATCCAGATGACCGTTTTTTTCCTGGATATAGTCTGATTGCTGCTGCTGACTGTTGCAGTTGTAGCTGATGATGTATTTTGCCATCAATCTAAATGGCGTCGTTGTCGTAGTACCCACTTTGAAACGTTTTTGTAATCTTTGCTGTTATTGCGTTTTTTGTTTTGTTTCTCTTTTTGCATTGGTCTTCTTTTTGCTGCTTGCTTGCTGGCTGGTAGTCAGCTTCCCGGTTTTTTCGTCATTCCTTCTGCTTCTTCGTCTTTTTTCTGTGAGCTCTGACTGACACACAGCTCGGTATGATGATGATGGATACCAAACATGTTTACGTTTCGCAATGGTCTTTTAATTGTGGGCCATTGGCTTTTAATGGTTTCCGTAACATTGCTGATCACCCAGTGAAATTACAAATGGTCCGACCGGTGTTAGTTACTTGAAATTGTGAGCTTAGGCGTAGTAATTGTTGTCGCCGTTGGAACATGTTTCTCACAGCCTCTAATTACTTTTATTCCGGTTCTAGGCAGATGATGTATGAGGCCAAATGTGGATAATAATTTGTTGTTCTTGTTCTTGGAAAATTTAACGGTTGAAAGGAGACGGGAAAAAACTATTAATTAAAACAATTAGAGAGTGATGTGAATTAAAACACAACAACAAATCGCATCTCTATTGCAACGCTTTATCTGAAGACGAGAAATTAAATCAGTATAAATAAATAAAACGGTGAGTATAAAGTTGATTGTGGGGTTCGGCAATGTTAGAAAGGGATATTAATATCATCATAAGCCAGCCAACTCCATACCTTAACCAAAGACACCAACAGTGACATCTCTATGGAATTTCAGGATTTCAGCTCAATTCTTACATCCAATACCAAATTGAGAACCCTTGTACTTTTCGTGCACTTTTAGTACAAATTTCCAAAATCACCTCCATATCCTAATTCCAAAGACTAACAGAGACCTCAATATCAAATTTGAAGATACTAGTCCTATCCCGTGCCAACTTTGCTTTCCAAAATACTCCAGACACAGTAGTCCAACGGATTGGTATCCGGAGATTTTGGTGGCCATTGTGTGCTGGAAATGAAGAGAGGAACCGCAATTTGCAACCATTCTTGGGTGGTGCGTGCTGAGTGCGATGGTGCTGAGTCCTGTAGGTATGCCCAAGGTCTGCGGCCAAAATTTTTGCGTGCCCAAGGCTTTAATACACCCTCCAGAATATTTTCGCAATATGTTCGGCTTTTATATACGAGCGGAGAGCGACCATCGGCTGTCATGGCGGCATCACCATGGCCGGCGCTTGAGTTCTAATAGCCCGCTGGCAATGAAAATTCCATTTAACTCAATTTCACTAGTCCTATACTAGATATAAGCCGGACTAGTACCAAATGTGTCCCCAAGTAATGCAAAGGTAACCAATTGACACCTTTTCGTCCCCAAGTAATGCAAAGAAACGACAGTTGTGCATAAATAAAAACCACCACGAAAAAACCAAACGAACATTTGAATGAGATCTCTACGAACAAGAACCACTTTGAATAGTTTTTTTTTAGATTACCAATAAAAAACAATGCACAGTTAATCTTGAGGAATGCAAGTGCGTTTTGTTTGGAAAAAGCATTCTTATTCTGATCGTTGTGAAGTGAAGTATCATTTTTCTGTGCAAATAAGTTATAAATTGTTGAAAATAACAAATAAAAAGGTTAGAATGAGTAGTAAAAGTAATAATAGTAATAAAATAATAATAAAAGTAATTCAAGGTAAAATTATAGCATTCTTCTCAGAATTGTTACAAATTATTAATTTGTTTGTTTTCACTATAGAACAAATCAAAATTTTAGCTGATACTTTAGCTGAGTTGAAGGTGATGGTGCTACGATCTCAAAGTGATGAGATACTATTATCGAATAGGTTCCCCATCACTTATGAAAAATATTGAGAATCAATACATATATGTAAGTATTTTTTAAATGTATTGCTGAACAAAAATAGATTATATACAATTTTTGTTAATTTTTAGGTAAAGATTATAGCATCAATTATAAAAGGAGAGGAAATATCGAAATGTTTAAAATGTTATCGGTTCAAATATTACTACGAGTATAATATTGAGGGAAACCATGGAAAAAAGTTTGAAGTCTCTAAGTAATATATACAGCGTTATTTTAGGTAAGGTGTATATAAACATTATTTTTATATTCTACATTTTCATACATTAAACATTATTTTTTGCAGATTCAATACCAGTTACAGAATATTCGGACACCCCTGAAACACAACTGCGAAAAGCAATACAAATGCTTTTATAAATATTAAATTAAATTTATATTTGTTCAAGTTTTATAGAGTAAGGTATATTTGTATTCATTTGTTTGCAATAAAAAAATGAATTAAAACTAAAAATTAGAATTTCACTAACAATAATTGGTACTGAACTAGTTCATGGGAAACCAGTTTAAAATTGGTCTGCTTATACTAGATAAGGGATAGTCAAATGACACTAGTACATAACTGTATACATAGAACTAGTTAAAAGGTAGTCTGCTGACACTAGTCTGTGGCTGTGTACTTGGAACTTGGTAAGGGTTAGTCTTTTGTCACTGGTATATGACTGTAAACCTGGAACTAGTAAAGTACCATCTACAGGTAATGCAAAGGGAGCCAATTGGTTACCTCGTATGACATCCCCATGTTAAAGTTTACAGTTGTTTGCACTGCGAGGGGTCTTAAGTGGAACTAGTTACTGTAACTCTGAGAATCGACGAGTTTCCGATGCCGAACTAGTTCATGTTGCTAGCGGGAGCTAACCGAAGGTGCACATTTTCCGCTCAACTCTTTGGCAAATAAACACGATAATTTTGTTTGTTTACAAACTAATGGACAGCGAATGTTTTCTCATCGGAGAAAACCAAATTCGGCAGTTCACCACTTTTGGCCAAGCGAAGCAACTCTTTAGCTCTTTCGAGTCTATTTTCTTTCTGTTGCGGTGTAAGTTCTTGCACTTTTTTGGAGTTTAAATGGCTTTACCCCGAGCTCTTTTTCAATATTTGCCGAATGGAATATTGCGATATTTTAAGCTCACGAGCCATTTTTCAGTCACTGCGACGCGGTTTTCGTTCAAGTTGCTTCTTTACTTTTCGAACCATTTCTGATGTTGCTGTTTTCTTTCGCCCACTTCCTTGACGTCGGGCTACGCTACCAGTATCACGATAACGAGCGATGGTACGAGACACAAAAGATTTATTCACATTTAAATGCTGGAGTGCTCTAACAATAGCCACTTGTGGTTTTCCAGCCAAATATAAAGAAATCACACTATCACGCTTGAACTCCATCACGAATAACTCTTTTTTTCTGGAAAATTCTCGCCAAAATGCTTTTGTACACTTGTAAATAATATAATGAGCTGTCACTGGAATTATTTTAACAGCTGTCGGACGAGTGGCTTAGAAATGACAGCAGTCTGATATTGTTTATAGTTTTTTCTTCTCACCCTGTAGTACGCATTTCCAGAATTATCTCCATATCTCAATTCCAGACACCAACAGAGACCTCAATATCAAATTTCGGGATCCCAGCCTTATGCTTTCACGCAATACCAAATTTAGTACCGTGTAGTATTTTTCGAAAAATTATAAAACACATTTCCAAAACCAACTTCATGCCTTAACCACAGAAAGAAAGAGGGAAATCTGTATCAAAATTCTTCACCCAATATCAAATTTAGTACTAGAATCACCTCCATATCTCAATTCCAGATACCAACAGAGACCTCAATATAAAATTCGCGATTCCAGCTCTATCCCTTCACTCAGTACCAAATTTAGTGTCACATAGTACTTTTCGAACAATTATAGCACACATTTCCAAGACCACCACCAGATACCAACAAAGAACCCAATCTTGAATTTCGGGATTCTAGCTCACTCAGTACCCAATTTAGTACCACTTCGTACACCAACAGTGACATTTATGTCAAATTTCTGAATTTTATATCTATCTCTTCACCCAATGATAAATTAGGTACTATTCAGTATATTTCGTAGAATTATGGTACACATTTTCAAAACTACCCCCTTATGTAGGTTCACGATATTGTATATCCCCCATATAACGGTACTTCCGCAGCCAAATTTTTCAATGGAATCGTCTGGAAATATATATATCACCTCTTCGTATAGCCCCCATATAACGGTTTTCATTTGAGCGGTATTTCTCGACGGATTTTTTTTTATTTTTCAAGTTTCTTCGACAAAAAGCGCAAAAATGGGTCGAAATCCAAGAAATTTTGTATTGTATCGTGGGCCGATCAAGGTTTAACGTGATATCATCCTAACTTAGCATTTCTCAAACTCCCAAAATTGACTGTGGTAAAATGTGTAGTTATCCTCATCAAAATATCACATTTTATATTCTACATTATGTGCCCGATTCTCACACTTCAAATGAATGTGCTTTAATAAAATAGTCACACGAAACGAGATCATGGTTATATCCATTAAAAAAAAGACATTTCGTTAAACGCTTAATTTCTGTGATCCCATGTAAAGTGGAACGATTTGATATTGCACTCTCTTGGCGTAGTCTTGAAAACATCTTGATTTGCAAACGCCAAGTGCAGTTGAAAAGAAATGACGCCCAAGGGTGTAATTTTATGAAATTGATTTGAGATTTTTTCTTTTTCTCTTTTTTGAAATGCACTTGGTGACAATTGATGCAACATGCATTAACGTGCATGTTTGTTTGTGTATCAGGGTTGATGTTATTACCAGCACCTCACACATTTTTATGCAGCATCCCCCCACACAACAAATGACCCTAGACATGTATGCATGTGTATGGTAGGTACATGTATCGTGGACGGATGTTGTCGCTATTCATTCTGTCTGAAAATTGGTCGCACAAATTGATGAAAATGAAAATGTGACAGCGACAAATGTGATTGTCGACTGTCTCAGAATCGCCGTCGTTTCTGTTGTTGTTGCTGCTGTTGACAATTGTTTTGAGTTGTTTTTGTAGTTTGTTGGCGACATGTTTAATGGGGAGTTTCATGTTGTTGTTATTGTCGTCTTGTAATATGGATATGTTGCAAAGGGGTGGTTGTATGAGGGACTATCTCCCAAGACCAAACAACAATATCAAGTCCAATATCAACAAATTACACACAGCACTAAACTGGAGTATTGTGGAAGATTTTCCTATTCTAACTGCAACAACAACAACAATACAAACATAATATGCCCCCAAATGGCACTTCCGCCTTACACGCCAGACTAAATTACTTGTTTCCCATACACCCCTAAACTGGTGAATTCTCTGTTGAACATCCATCCATCCATCCACCATGGGAAATAAATGACATCTATCGTGGAGCATCTGTTGCATTGCAGGAAGAATGCATTGGAATGGAGCGAAGTGTTGAAAGACAATTTTTAAATGCAATAAATTTTAAACTATGCATTATTATATAAAAAAATTGTTTATACAAAGTAAGCGTAAAATTAAAAAAAATCATGATCCTGGATTAAAAATTATACTTGTTTACCCTTAAAATTCTAACAACACATTTCTGTTTTTCAAACATTTTTGATAGTTTTCCTTCATAACTTGTTTCCAATGTCCAATACTTATGGAATTTATATTGAGGAAAACTCTCGGACCAATGACAATATGTCTTTGTAGGGTATAATAATAGTAATCAATATAGAAAATGCTAAACCCTTACCCTCCACCGCACATAGTACGGAGGGTATATTGAGTTCATTATTCCGTTTGTGAATCGAAATAATAATACAAGCTTAAAATTCTAAGATGCTCTGTCCGTCCATCTGTCTGTCTTTCCCTCTGTTGTAATCACGCTAGAGTCAAAACGAATTAAGATCAGTGTTTTATCTGCAGGCATGTGAAGTTCGAAGATGGGCTAAATTGGTCCAAGATATAGTATAGCCCCCATATAACGGTACAATCGATATTCTGTATTTTGATGATTGTAGCCAAACTTTTCAATGACATTTCTCAAAAATGCACACAAGGAATTCCTTTTGAGTACTTGGAGTGGAATTTTCTACATAGGTTCACGATATCGTAAATCCCCCAAACAATGGTACCCCCGATATTAGGAACTTTGATGATTATAACACTGTTCACCGGAATTGTTCCAAATTTCGTATTTGAACTCCTAATGGGCACTACAATTTATGACGGAAAATTACTTATGCAAGACCAAGTTTTGTAAAGCCCCTGTAATCGGGCTTCCTTTCAACGTTATTTTTGACGGATTGTTTTTTTTTTTCAAGTTTCTTCATAATGGTGGACGGTATTAAAAACTCGGAACGGCCTAACTCAGATGCTTTTTTCCCAGATTTTTTTTTTTAATTTCGGATTAAAATTCCTTGTTGTCAGTTCATTTTAGGTACATTATAAATTCGTCAATACTTCTGAGAACAATTTGCTGATTATTTTGGTCGAAAACTTTAACCCTTAAAGGGGTATTTTTTGAAACTCCCTTTAAACGGAATGATAATAGGCCAAAATATTCACAAATTTATTTGTTACAAAATTCTTCAAAACTTTTCAGAATATTCCTGGGTGTTTTTATACCCTACACCACATAGTGGTAGGGGTCTTATGTCTTTGTGCATTTGTTTGTAACATGGAGATGGAAGCGAGATAGACCCATAGTTACTTTTGACGACCTTCATAGAATCACTTTCTGAGTCGATTTATGCATGTCAGTCCGACCGTTCGTCCGTCTGTTTGCTTGGCCCAAGGACGAACCCCGTTGACATTGGTGACAATCGGTTAACATTTGGATATAGCTCCCATATGTATCTTCAGCCGATTTCGGGTTAATTGTGCACCAAATGTTCAATATCATTGCGACCGAATTCGGCCTACAAACAAGTACAACAACTTTTGTGAAAATCGTTCAGATATAGATGCGGCTCCCATATAAATTTTGATTGATTTTTATACCCTACACAACATAGTGGTAAAGGTATTATGTCTTTGTGCATTTGGAATGGAATCGAGCATAGAAACACTTTCTGAGTTGATTTATGCATGTCATTCCGTCTGTCCGTCCGTCCGCCCGTCTGTCCATGTATTCTTGTGAACGAAATGCAGGTCGCATTTATTTTCCGATTGAGATGAAATTTTCCAAACAACATTTGCTTGGCCCAAGGACGAACCCTATTGAAATTGGAGATAATCGGTCAAAATTTAGAATATATAAAAGGGAATCTTCGTCCGATTTGCCTTTTATTGTGCACCAAACGTGTAATATCAGCCCGAATAGTATGGAATTTTGCACATACAACCAAATTAGGCCTGAAAATAAGTATGCCAAATTTTATCGAAATCGGTTCAGATATAGCTATAGCTCCCATATATATATTGTTCATCCGATTTGTTATTTTTGCCCTCCACAGCCGTAATATGCACTCTGTAACAACAATGTTTGGGGAAATATATCAAATGCAGCTCAGAAATACATTTGCTAAATTTTATGGAGATCGGTTCAGATTTGGATATATCTCCCATATATAACTTCGTCCGATTTACCATTTATTGTGTACCAAACGTCTAATATTTGTCCAAATGGGATGGAATTTGGAACATACGACCGAATTTAGTCTAGAAGGTAGTATGTCAAAT